TTTTTAAGTGGGAGAACTTGCACAATATGTGGCTGACTAAATACTTTTTCCCCCACTGTACAGGCCCGTCTGAAGTTTGCCAATGAACATCTGAATGATTCAGAGGAGAACTGGGTGAAAGTGTTGTGGTCAGATGAGACCAAAATCGAGCTCTTTGGCATCAACTCAACTCGCCGTGTTTGGTGGAGGAGGAGGAATGCTGCCAATGACCCTAAGAACACCATCCCCACCGTCAAACATGGAGGTGGAAACATTATGCTTTGGGGGTGTTTTTCTGCTAAGGGGACAGGACAACTTCACCGCATCAAAGGGACGATGGACGGGGCCATGTACCGTCAAATCTTGGGTGAGAACCTCCTTCCCTCAGCCAAGGCATTGAAAATGGGTCGTGGATGGGTATTCCAGCATGACAATGACCCAAAACACACGGCCAAGGCAACAAAGGAGTGGCTCAAGAAGTAGCACATTAAGGTCCTGGAGTGGCCTAGCCAGTCTCCAGACCTTAATCCCATAGAAAATCTGTGGAGGGAGCTGAAGTTTCGAGTTGCCAAACGTCAGGCTCGAAACCTTAATGACTTGGAGAAGATCTGCAAAGAGGAGTGGGACAAAATCCCTCCTGAGAAGTGTGCAAACCTGGTGGCCAACTACAAGAAACATCTGACCTCTGTGATTACCAACAAGGGTTTTGCCACCAAGTACTAAGTCATGTTTTGCAGAGGGGTCAAACACTTACTTCCCTCATTAAAATGCAAATCAATTTATAACATTTTTGACATGCGTTTTTCTGGATTTTGTTGTTGTTATTCTGTCTCTCACTGTTCAAATTAACCTACCATTAAAATGATAGACTGATCATGTCTTTGTCAGTGGGCAAACATACAAAATCAGCAGGGGATCAAATAATTTTTTCCCTCACTGTACATATTTTTGCCTCTAAAAATAAAAGTTACATTCAAACATTTTCAAAATATGGAAGATTATTCATTTGAAAATCCCCAATTCAAACAGATTTGACATTAGAATGAAATTTTACGTTGACAAAAATGGAATTTTCTTCTTCATTCAAGTGGTATACACAGTAGTTGCTTCATGACTCTACAACCTAATTAAATTACATTTACATTTACGTCATTTAGCAGACGCTCTTATCCAGAGCGACTTACAAATTGGTGCATTCACCTTATGATAGCCAGTGGGACAACCACTTTACAATTTATTTATTTTTAATTTTTTGAGTATATTTTAAATTTTAATTTGTTTTATATATATATATATATATATATATATATATATATATTTTTTTTTTTTTTTTTTTTGGGGGGTGGGGTGGGGTAGGGGGGGTCGAAGGATTACTTTCATACTATCCCAGGTATTCCTTAAAGAGGTAGGGTTTCAAGTGTCTCCGGAAGGTGGTCAGTGACTCCGCTGTCCTGGCGTCGTGAGGGAGTTTGTTCCACCATTGGGGTGCCAGAGCAGCGAACAGTTTTGACTGGGCTGAGCTGGAACTGTGCTTCCGCAGAGGTAGGGGGACCAGCAGGCCAGAGGTGGAAGAATGCAATGCCCTCGTTTGGGTGTAGGGACTGATCAGAGCCTGAAGGTAAGGAGGTGCCGTTCCCCTCACAGCTCCGTAGGCAAGCACCATGGTCTTGTAGCAGATGCGAGCTTCAACTGGGAAGGTTGAACACCAGACGGGCTGCAGCTTTCTGGATGAGTTGTAGGGGTTTAATGGCACAGGCAGGGAGCCCAGCCAACAGCGAGTTGCAGTAATCCAGACGGGAGATGACAAGTGCCTGGATTAGGACCTGTGCCGCTTCCTGTGTAAGGTAGGGTCGTACTCTGCGAATGTTGTAGAGCATGAACCTACAGGATCGGGTCACCGCTTTGATGTTAAATCTAACATATTTGAACCAAAATTAATATTCTATCTTAATCTCAGGCAGATGGAGTTGACAGTTTATGGTTGTGACCATGGTGATTCCAATATTGTTTGTTTAAATCTCTCAAAAGTATAGAACTTTTTGGGGGTCCTTATAGCTGACCCTGCTCATTCCTGATTAATTTAGGATTTTAGACAAATCTGACGGAGTTCACCAAATCTCCGGACACATTTCTTTGGAATTACAGTTTTGAGAGAAATAAGTCACAGAGGGCTATTGCAAGAAACTACATAAAATTGGGATCCTTTGCACTGGACAAAGGCATTTCCAGGCATAGAGCAGACATGGAAATTAGTAATATTGAAAGTATTTAGAAAATTCTCCTAAATGTAAATTTTAAGATCAACCAATGCAACAAAAGGATACAACATATTTTACAAACAAAAATAAAGTTTCCCTGCCGGATAAGGATTGTCCTGACTTTCAAGCATGTCTGAGCTAATTTCCTGCTATTCTACACATTTTGTCATGATGCTGAGAGAAAATGTTGCAGTTTCAAAGTACATTTCCTATCATTCAAAACATTTATTTTATGGCTTATGACGTGTTCATATGCTATCTGGGGGGCCCGACCTCCGGGGGTCCCCAACCAAAAAACCTAAACCAAATCATGGGCTCCCACCTTGGGGGGCTGCGGGACTTTGTGCTACGCCAGTGTCTTCTACTCACACCGGTGAGATCTTTACCAAAGCAATTTCTTAAGTGTACATTGCAAGTCTATCTAGGAATACATTTATAATAACTCATTGGGCTTATCGTGTAACCTTGTCAGAATTTTCGAGCATTCAAAGGGAAGGGGAAAGCACAACTCAGCATTGAGAAAGCCCATCCTGAATGCCCATCTCAAATGACACACATGCATCATATGTCGTATGCATTTCTATGGCCATAGAAAATAATGCATATTTGGACATGCATTTGACTGTATGTAACGGCTTTTGCAAGTACTAAGTCAATCAACAGTGTTTTCATTGGAGCTATTGTTAAACCATTGAAGATACTGTATGAAAAACAGTACTCCTATGAAAATGTGCATCTTGTCTGACTGCACACATGTACTATATGAAGTATAGACACATGATCAGTTGGTCACAGGGGATGGTAAGTATTTTACTGTGTTAGCATTGAAGGATCATAGTATCATAGGTAGCATGTATCTGTGCAATGATGTTTTTGCTTGTTCTGTGGGATAACCATACATCCCTCCATTGCACCTTAATTTCATTCTCTCACTTCTTCGCAGACTCAGGTTTTGGCACGTTTGTTCCTTAAAATGGAGGGAGTCATTTTTTACATGGGGTTGGGGTTCTTGACGACTCGATAGAGCAACATTTCCTTTGTGTGTGTGATTGGTAAGGTCATACAACTGACCTGGATAACCTTGTGAATGTGTGTGCTGCTAAGATTAATCACAACATGGTTACACAAAAGTTTATAATCAAATATAAAATCAAATCAGTTTATTTCTCACATGCACAGGATACAGCAGGTGTAAACAGTATAGTGAAATACTTGCAAGCTCTTCCTCAACAGTTCGGTTATACTAAGTCAAATAAAGAAATACACACGAGAAATAATAAAGTACACATGAAAATATAATAAATACACACGAGAATATACACGTTATATGACAAGATCAGTATCAGTACCAATCAATGAAAATGATACTGGTGGCAGTTGTGTAATCAGGGTTAAAGTGACAGCATTACTGACAATCTATATTATTTATTTAATCAATTTAAAAGTATCTGTTTCAACCTCTATTCCACTGAGATTTGTATTGATTGTTATGGAGAATTTGGACCTGTCTTGTTTTGTGTAAGCTTGTGGTTATACATCTATGGGGGCTTCAGAAGACGTTGATACATGTATGTTGTATTATAGTTAATAGCTATAGTCACAGCTACAGACACACAGCAGAGGAAAACAGAACCTGAAAAACAAACTCCAAAACTACCTCTGATGCTCAGGTCTCTTCTACCTGTTCTCATTCTATGGGTGCATCCCAAATGGCACCCTATTATCCTTATAGTGCACTACTGTTGACCAGAACCCAATGGGCCCCAGTCAAAAGTAGTGCACTATAAAGGGAATAGGGTGCCATTTGGGACACAATCCTTGTCTATTTCTCTGCACTCTACCATGTTGATAGTTCAGGCGTCACATTAGGAGTGATGTGAAGGTTGGAGCTGTGGACTTGTGTGGCTCCCTCCCTGGTGAATTGTGTTTCCTGGTGTTGCACGGCCTTGGAACCTTGCTCTGTGTTTGAGTCGATCCCCAAATGCTCTCAGAACTCAATGCTACCTATGTATGATCATTATACAAGGTTGCGTAGGTGTGTAAGAGTGTCAGAGACAGAGCGAGGGAGAGGGAGCGAGAGAGAGAGACTGTGATGTAAAAAGGTAGTAACAATGTGAATGCCTGGGTCTTGAGCCCTCTGTGAGGTTTGTTTTCTTACTATGTGTACATAATACTGTCCTGCCATCTCCATAAAGAAACCACTCAAACAATGAAAGTCAAGGAAATCAATCATTGTTCAATGCAGTGTTTCTCTATGCATGTTGTTGTAATGTGTGGGTATTTTGATGGATTCCTTTCCATGCATAGAACACATGTTTTGAAGCTTACAGTAGCCTACAGTGCACATGCTATGTTTATGCTTACTATACACAACATAATGGAAAGCGGTTGTTACATTGAATTAGTTAGAATTTGTTTTTGAAGAATATGCCTACCAGTTGATGTCAGTTGGCAGACTTTCAGTAATTCAGGGCTGGTGTAGCATATCCATTGACTTAAAATGTCATTATAATAGATTTATACACAACAACACATTGACCCAGTTTATTTGATGATATTGCCTTGATTCGATTCCTATTTGATATGTGTTTCACGTACAGCACTGTACGCTTATCGTCCCGTTTCATCTGCTGTGACCACTAGAGTCACTACACTCCAACCTGGATGGAAGCCCATGTATCTGATTCTGAACGTCCTCTCTGTCCTCTCTCAAGCCAGATGTCTTCAGTTTGACTTAATGTGTTCATTGTTCTTTCTCCAAGGTTTAATTTCGAAGAGGAGACGCCGACGACCAACTTCGATACCTTCCCGGCGGCCATTCTCACCGTCTTCCAGGTACACCCTGTCTCTACTTCTCTCCTTTTAATTAACCAACTCGTTTGGGCTTTTACTTTGGAGCTCTTTCCTTTGGAATGTTGGACTAGTTGAGAGAATTGTGTATTGAACAAAGGTAATTTGCAATTATTGGAATGTAGTGGTCTGTGTACTCTGTCTCTTTGTCTCCAAATGACTCATCTTTCTATTAGCCTGTGTTATACTTTTGAAAGTCATAACGGCTGAACTTTTGACCCTGCAGTATAACTCAATGTCTTGTAAATTTATTATGAATTATGAATGATTTCATCTCTCCATGATCAACGTCAGATTCTGACTGGCGAGGATTGGAATGCAGTGATGTATCATGGCATTGAGTCCCAGGGGGGCGTGCGGCGGGGAATGTTCTCCTCAGTCTACTTCATCGTCCTCACACTCTTTGGAAACTGTATCCTCTCTGACCCTAAGTCGTGCCACTGCATGGATATCAGAGATTTCATCTGCATGAAACATTAATGGAGCGAAATAGAAATATCTCATGTCATGAAAGAACACTGGAGAGAAGTGCTGTAATGAGAGCTATACATTTTGAACATTTATTTCTGGCGGGGGGGGCATGCTCCCGGATCCCCCTAAAAGGGTTCCTCCAGTGAATTCTGAGTTTGAGTGATACTGTAACCCTTTTTAATGGCATGCCATCCAGTCTATTGCTGATGGTCAAAGTGTTTGGTTGCAATGTACCATGGATTAGCCGTGAAAGCCACTACTGTTGTGTCAAGGTTTTTCCTGAGCTTAGTTCCAACCAGACACGCTCCTGAACGTCTTCTTGGCTATCGCCGTCGACAACCTCGCCAATGCACAGGAGCTCACCAAGGTAAGGCTGAGGAACCATGTCCTACCCTGGGAACCTTTTCTGTTAGATTTCTTTCTGAATAAAATGACCCTTGGTTACCCATCCCTTCTGGTTTATTGGTCCAGGATGAGGAGAAGCAGGAGGAAGAAGCCAATAAGAAGCTGGCCCTGCAGAAGGCCATGGAGGTGAAGGAGGTCAGCCCCATGTCAGCAGCCAACATCTCCATCGCTGCGTAAGTCTAGTGTTCCAGCCCGCCCCCCCGCTCTCCAAACATGGTCTCTTCCTTCCGTGTTCCCTCCCATTCTGACACCAGCCTGTCGTTATACTGTGAAGTATCAGATATAGCTGGTTCTGCCCTTTGTCAATGTGCTGTTGATGTTGGTGTCTTGGCTCTGCACACTGTCTCTCAATGTATCTCTGTTGTGATATTGCCTCTGTCCATGTGCATTCTCCTAACTACACGATTGACATGTCTGCATGGCGGCAGGTAGCCTATCGGTTAAGAGCATTGGGTCAGTAACCGAAAGGTCGCTGGTTCAAATCCCGGAGCCGACTAGGTGAAAAATCTGTCTGTGCCCTTGAGCAAGGAACTATACCCGAACTGCTCCTGTAAGTTGCTCTGGATAAGAGTGTCTGCTAAATGACTAAACTGTAAACTGCCGTGTATATGTTTCTGTCTATGTGTGTGCTTTGACTACAATCCTTCTCTTACCCCCTGTTCCCCATCTGATTGGCTTACAGAACTGGGAGCCCCTCTGTTATCCTCCTCCCATACTGAGGTGGAACAGGTGACCCAGACAACGTCTCAAATGGCACCCTATTCCCTATATGTGCCATTTGGTATACAACACCAATTAGATATTGACACGAGTGGATGCTTGATCGGAAACTGATCTCCAATCAGCATTAGTTACCTCGGCCTTTCGGTCTCATTTAGTGAGTCATCTACTAGAGTCTGATGGAGTCAATCAGAACATTGTCAACATTAACAATCTCCTATAACCTATTTACTGTATCTAACCACACAGCCATGCCCTCTCCCCACTGGTATTGGCTTTAGGACTAATTAATCAATAGTGTGGTTTTCAGCATTAAGGATGCCATTATGTATTAGGTAAGAGATGAGCTTGGCCCTCTATTGACAACATTTTGATGGTCAATAAGTCATTGGTTTGTACATGACCAATCATCAGTAATGTCAGTCTCAGCCCAGGTGGGACACATGGTCTATTAGATGTATATGACATGGCCTCTGTGTCCTGACTGTGACCACAATGACCAGGACACATATTAATGCAGACACTCAAAGCAGGAATGCTGATCAGTTTTGCCTTTAAGATCATAATGAATAAAATGATATGGATAGGATGGACCTGATCCTAGATCAGCACTCCTACTCTGAGACACATTGTGGATACGGGCCCAGGTCAGAATAGTGGTTAGTTTAAGAAACCAAATCATTAAAATAATCAATAATTAATCTCTCATGGACAGATGAGCATTTGACCAAATTACGCCAGATTTTAGTTCTAGGTAAACCGAGATTAATAATAAATAAGCACATTTTAGATTGACAGTAGCCTACTGCATAAATCCTGATGATTACTTTGAAAATGCATTTGCCATTATATACTGTAGCAGAATACATACGGTATCAGATTACATACTGTAACAGTTTACATACTGTATCAGATTACATACTGTAGCAGATTACATACTGTAGCAGATTACATACTGTAGCAGATTACATACTGTAACAGATGACATACTGTAGCAGATTGCATGATCTTCATTTTGATCTTTGTAACGTAGAATGATTAAACCTTAACGATGTTCATTTGTTAGTCTATTTCAAAGCTGTGTTGATACAGGCCATTTCTGAGAGAATGTTTTATTTTAGATACACTACCAGTCAAAGGTTTGGACACACCTAATCATTCAAGGGTTTTTCTTTATTTTTAAAATGGTTTACATTGTAGAATAATAGTGAAGACATCAAAACTATGAAATAACATATGGAATCATGTAGTAACCAAAAAAGTGTTAAACAAATCAAAATATATTTTATATTTGATATTCTTCAAATAGCCACCCTTTGCCTTGATGACAGATTTGCACACACTTGGCATTCTCTCAACCAGCTTCATGAGGTATTCACCTGGAATGCATTTCAATTAAAAGGTGTGCCTTCTAAAAAGTTAATTTGTGGAATTGATTTCCTTCTTAATGCGTTTGAGCCAATCAGTTGTGTTGTGACAAGGTAGGGGGGTAAACAGAAGATAGCCCTATTTGGTAAAAGACCAAGTCCATATTATGGCAAGAACAGCTCAAATAAGCAAAGAGAAACGACAGTCAAATCAAATCAAATTTACTTACAAGCCCTTAACCAACAATGAAGTTTTAAGAAAGAATTCCAAAAAAATCATACGAAATAAAGGTAACAAATAATTAAAGAGCAGCAGTAAAAATAACAATAGCAAGGCAATATACAGGGGGTACCGGTACGGAGTCAATGTGCGGGGGCACCGGTTAGTCGAGGTAATTGAGGTAATATGTACATGTATGTAGAGTTATTAAAGTGACTATGCATAGATAATAAACAGAGAGTTGCAGCAGAGTAAAAGAGGGGGGGGGGGGTATTATGGCTTGGGGGTAGAAGCTGTTTAGAAGCCTCTTGGACCTAGACTTGGCGCTCAGGTACTGCTTGCCGTGCGGTAGCAGTGAGAATAGTCTATGACTAGGGTGGCTGGAGTCTTTGACAATATTTAGGGCCTTCCTCTGACACCGCCTGGTATAGAGGTCCTGGATGGCAGGAGGCTTGGCCCCAGTGATGTACTGGGCCGTACGCATTACCCTCTGTAGTGCCTTGCGGTCGGCGGCCAAGCAGTTGCCATACCAGGCAGTGATGCAACCAGTCAGAATGCTCTCGATGGTGGTGCAGCTGTATAAACTTTTGAGTATCTGAGGACCCATGCCAAATCTTTTCAGTCTCCTGAGGGGGAATAGGTTTTGTCGTGCCCTCTTCACAACTGTCTTGGTGTGCTTGGACCATGTTAGTTTGTTGGTGATGTGGACACCAAGGAACTTGAAGCTCTCAACATGGTCCACTACAGCCCCGTCGATGAGAATGGGGGCGTGCTCGGTCCTCTTCTTTTTCCTGTAGTCCACAATCATCTCCTTTGTCTTGATCACGTTGAGTGAGAGGTTGTTATCCTGGCACCACACGGCCAGGTCTCTGACCTCCTCCCTATAGGCTGTCTCGTCGTTGTCTGTGATCAGGCCTACCACTGTTGTGTCATCGGCAAACTTAATGATGGTGTTGGAGTCGTGCCTGGCCATGCAGTCATGAGTGAACATGGAGTACAGGAGGGGACTGTGCACACCCCTGAGGGGCCCCTGTGTTGAGGATCAGTGTAGTGGATGTGTTGTTACCTACCCTTACCACCTGGGGTCGGCCCGTCAGGAAGTCCAGGATCCAGTTGCAGAGGGAGGTGTTTAGTCCCAGGGTCCTTAGCTTAGTGATGAGCTTTGAGGGCACAATGGTGTTGAACGCTGAGCTGTAGTTAATGAATACCATTCTCACATAGGTGTTCCTTTTGTCCAGGTGTGAAAGGGCAGTGTGGAGCACTATAGACATTGCATCATCTGTGGATCTGTTGGGGTGGTATGCAAATTGGAGTGGGTCTAGGGTTTCTGGGATAATGGTGTTGATGTGAGCCATGACCAGCCTTTCAAAGCACTTCATGGCTACAGACGTGAGTGCTACGGGTCGGTAGTCATTTAGGCAGGTTACCTTAGTGTTCTTGGGCACAGGCACTATGGTGGTCTGCTTGAAACATGTTGGTATTACAGACTCAGACAGGGAGAGGTTGAAAATGTCAGTAAAGACACTTTCCAGTTGGTCAGCGCATGCTTGAAGTACACGTCCTGGTAATCCGTCTGGCCCTGCGGCCTTGTGAATGTTGACCTGTTTAAAGGTCTTACTCTCATCGGCTACGGAGAGAGTGATCACACAGTGGTCCGGAACAGCTGATGCTCTCATGTATGTTTCAGTGTTACTTGCCTCGAAGCGAGCATAGAAGTAATTTAGCTCGTCTGGTAGGCTCGTGTCACAGCTCGCGGCTGTGTTTCCCTTTGTAGTCTGTAATAGTTTGCAAGCCCTGCCACTTTGACGAGCATCGGAGCCGGTGTAGTACGATTCGAGCTTAGTCCTGTATTGACGCTTTGCCTGTATGATGGTTCGTAGGAGGTCATTTCTTATAAGCTTCTGGGTTAGAGTCCCGCTCCTTGAAAGTGGCAGCTCTACCCTTTCGCTCAGTGCAGATGTTGCCTGTAATCCATGGCTTCTGGTTGGGGTATGTACGTTCAGTCACATGACGACGTCATCGATGCACTTATTGATGAAGCCAGTGACTGATGTGATGTACACCTCAATGCCATTGGAAGTCTCCCGGAACATGTTCCAGTCTGTCCACTTTTTTATTGACGAGTCACTGGTGCTTCCTGTTTTAGTTTTTGCTTGTAAGCAGGAATCAGGAGGATAGAATTATGGTCAGATTTGCCAAATGGAGGGCGAGGGATAGCTTTGTATGCGTCTCTGTGTGTGGAGTAAAGGTGGTCTAGAGTTTTTTCCCCCTCTGGTTGCACATTTAACATGCTGGTAGAAATTAGGTAAAACGGATTTAAGATTCCCTGCATTACTGTCCCGGCCACTAGGAGAGCCGCCTCTGGATGAGCGTTTTTCTGTTTGCTTATGGCCTTATACAGTTCATTGAGTGCGGTCTTAGTGCCAGCATCGGTTTGTGGTGGTAAATAGACAGCTACGAAGAATATAGATGAAAACTCTCTTGGTAGATAGTGTGGTCTACAGCTTATCATGAGATACTCTACCTTAGGTTAGCAAAACCTTGAGACTTCCTTAGATATCGTGAACCAGCTGTTGTTTACAAATATACATAGACCGCCACCCATTGTCTTACAAGATGCTGCTGTTCTATCCTGCCGATACAGTGTATAACCCGCAAGCTGTATGTTATTCATGTCTTCGTTAAGCCACGACTCGGTGAACCATAAGATATTACAGTTTTTTATGTCCCGTTGGTAGGATATACGTGCTTGTAGATCGTACACTTTATTATCAAGCTATTGTAAGTTGGCCAATAGTATCGATGGCAAAGGAAGATTAGCCACTCGTCGCCGGCTCCTTACCAGGCACCCGTATCGCGATATCTCTATTTCTTTCTACTGCGAATGACGGGGATGAGGGCCCTGTCGGGTGTCTGGAGCAAATCCCTCTCGTCCGACTCATTAAAGAAAAATTATTTGTCAATTTCAAGGTGAGTAATCGCTGTTCTGATGTCCAGAAGCTCTTTTCGGTCATAAGAGAAGGTAGCAGCAACATTATGTACAAAATAAGTTACAAACAATGCGAAAAAACACACAAAATAGCATGGTTGGTTAAGAGTCCATAAAACGGCAGCCCTCCCCTCCGGCGCCATGTTGCGTCCATCATTACTTTAAGACATGAAGGTCAGTCAATTCAGAAAATTTCAAGAACTTTGAAAGTTTCTTCAAGTGCAGTCGCAAAAACCATCAAGCAATATGATGAAACTGGCTCTCCTGAGGACCGCCACAGGAAAGGAAGACCCAGAGTTACCTCTGCCGCAGAGGATAAGTTAATTAGAGTTACCAGCCTCAGAAATTGCAGCCCAAATAAATGCTTCACAGAGTTCAAGTAACAGACACATCTCAACATCAACTATTCAGAGGGGATTGTGTGAATCATGCCTTCGTGGTCGAATAGCTGCAAAGAAACCACAACTAAAGGACACCAATAATAAGAAGAGACCTGCTTTGGCCAAGAAACACGAGCAATAGACATTAGACCGGTGAAATTGTGTCCTTTGGTCTGGAGTCCAAATTGGAGATTTATATTATGAAATATATTTTGATTTGTTTAACACTTTTCTATTTACTACATGATTTCATATGTGTTATTTCATAGTTTTGATTGCTTCATTATTATTCTACAATGTAAAAAATAGTACAAATAAAGAAAAACCCTTGAATGAGTAGGTGTGTCCAAACTTTTGACTGGTACTGTATCTGCATAATGTGCTATTTTACAAAGCTTTTTACTCTTGATGATGTGAATCCATAATCATATTTTATTCACAAAAGTAGTCATGACGTTTTTAACGAAGACCATTGTCTGTCTGATTGATCTAACGTTTGAAAGGCTTTGTAAACCCATTGTGGATTGAACTTTGTAAATCCACTTTGATACAATTTCTCTCATTACGTTGACTTGTGTTATTTCTTCAGAATGTTTTCAGTCTGATGTCTTTGGTAACACTTCAGTGAAGGGGTTTAGTATCTATTTTTTATATTTTCCCCAATATTTGCATCTATTCCACTCCTGGTAGTCACTTGACCACATTATGTAACAGTGTGTGGTGTACAGTACCACAAAGTACAGTATTACAGGACTACAAACTATATATACTGTGTATGCTACACTACTCCCATTGCTGAAGTGTTAACCACTACTATAGTTGTAGCTCTGTTAGACTAGTCCTTCGTGATCGTGGAGGGGACAGGTGGACAGACAGACAGACACTTTATGGAGGAGTTTGACTGACTTCCACCTCTGCCCACCACATCCTTTTGGTTTGTGTCTCATCCTTTCTTCCTTTCTTTCATTTGTCTTTTTGTTTTATTTCTGCATGTGCAGTTTTGTAAAGCAAAATCGAGACGTACTCTCTCGCAGCTCGTCTGTCTCCAGCGTACATTCACCGTGAGTTTTTGCTCTCTGTTACAATATTCTCACCCCTCTCTTCTCCTCCCCCAAACCTGCCTCCCTCTGCTCCCCCGTTAGCCTTGCTCCTCCTCTTCTTTCCCCTCCTTCCAATTCTGAAAGCCCCTCTTCCCTCTCCCCATCCACTTCTCCATCTCTCCTTTAGCCTCATACTCCACCTAGCCTTCCCAATCCCTCTATTCATCACTCTCTCCATGAGTCCTCCCAGTGTTGAGATATGCTTGAAACTGGAGAATCCACTGGTGATTCACTGGTGGCTGTCACTATAGAGTGAGATTTTAAATAATGACACTTTTAAATAATGACACTGTGTGTATTTGGTTGCGTGCGTGTGTGTGTGTGTGTGTGTGTGTGTAAATGCTTGTGTGTGTAATGCCAGCGTGTAAATGCGTGTGTGTAAATGTGTGCATGTGTGTAAATGTGTATGTGTATTTCTGAATGTTGAATATGTAATTGTGCATAGTGCCAGGTTTCATCTGCACTGTGTTGACGCCTGAAGTGATGAGTGTAACCTGAGCTTTAGAGTGAATACTTTTTATATAAATATATATTGTCTTGGTGCTCAGTCAATTCCCCAGACAGTTTTACAGCTTGTGTTTTTTATGCCCCGGTATCTCTTTTTCAACACATTATGAGTGAGGGCCAAACTAAATAGTACAGTAGCCAAGTGGTAGTCTGCCAAACTAGACAATGAAATTGTCGATTTGCTGCTTACCTGACACTTCGTTATCATTTGTTACCAATTAGTAACAACACATATTTCTAAATGTTGTGGTGTGGTGCTGATGGTGCTAGTCTCTCTCTCTCTCTCTCTCTCTCTCTCTCTCTCTCTCTCTCTCTCTCTCTCTCTCTCTCTCTCTCTCTCTCTCTCTCTCTCTCTCTCTCTCTCTCTCTCTCTCTCTCTCTCTCTCTCTCTCTCTCTCTCTCTCTCTCTCTCTCTCTGTGTGTGTGTTTGTGTGTTTGTTTGTGTGTGTGTTCACTGTGATTTCTCTCTCATAACAAGAGCACATCTTTCACTAACATGTCCGTTTGTCGCTGATATGTCTTTCTTACTTGTCTATGTTTTGCACACTTTGATTGTCTGTCTGTCTGTTGCTTTTTTGTCTGTCTGTTATCTTTTAGGAGTTTTATCTACTCCCCCGCCCGTCGAGTCTTGAGGTACAGGTGACACAAAGGATGCAATTTTTCTAGTCATACATACATACATAAGTCTGCACATACATTCATACTGTACACACAAATTCATATAGTCAACCACATCTAAAAACATATGTACATAGAAACCATCATTTAAATTATTCCTTAGGATCGTGACTTGTTCATATCATGATGATACCATCGAGATCCTATTAGATTTCTAGGGGGCTATGTCATAAACCCTCAAAGTTCCTGAACGGTATGAAAATGGCAGCCATTGTGGTCAGAGAGAAATCCAAACCAGTTTAATTGGAATGAATGGCAGTAGAGGAATAGGTGATGCTTGTCCCTCTTTTACTTAATTAAGTAAGGCATGTGATATATCAGAAATTGTATTATAGAATTGTTGTCAACTTAAAATATTGTCATATAATTATTAATACAGTTTACACAGGTTGTCTGTATAAATAACCTCTAAAATATATGTAAACAGACCATCAATGTTTGTTTTCTTTTAAAGCTGTGAGTGTTATAATATGATACAATATCAGTACTTGATGCATTTATAACTTGTCTAAGTCCTATAATCAACTGATATCAACCAGTGTTTGGCTGTGGATTGACTGCATTGTTTGCATGGAATGTTGGCTGAGGGATATTGACAGTTACTTAGACAAATTATTTAAATCATTCCACTTAAACTGGCTGGCTAGCTATCTAACAAACATACTGTGCAGATAATCTTCAAATACATTGTTTTACTCAACATCTTATCACAGTGCTGGTTGACCACCGGCTTGCCAACCCCATTAACAAAACCACTGACCTTTTTTGTCCATTCTTGTATTCAAATTCCTAATTCTATGGATGTTACCATATCCCATGACAGAAGGAACACAAAGGGTTACTTGAAATCTATAATTTATCTCCCATCTCCACACTAATCCACTAGATTTTGGCCTTGGTATTAAAGGAAAGATTCACCCATTATGAATGTTATATTGTTTTCGTGCATCTCTAAGCGATGTTCTATTGATTCCCCGGGTTTTCATGTGTATCTGAGCTATTGCCGTTCAAGCATGCAGAAATACAGCCGGTATGATTAGTTTTGCTTCATATGATGCAAAACGCATCACACTGGCTGTGACAATTTGCGTTTTTAAAGTTGTATATCTTGAAAACTTGATTGCTGACATGCACAACATTTTGGGACTGTATCAACAGTGGACTACTCAAATAAATACCAAAATATAGTTTTTGAGTGGATAATTCCTTTAAGGTCACTTAAAACCAGCCCAATTTTTCCTGTTCTCCGTGTGTATTCAAATGTTCCAGTCTGTCATGCAAGATAGCTCACCTTTCGAGAATAAAGTAACTAGAAGGTCAACATGTGAGGTATTTTTGGATACTGCTGGTAGGGGGTGGAGATGACAGCTGGCAGACCCATTATGCAGGTCAGTACTGGCTACTCACAATACTGGAGAATTGTCATCCTTAACTGTTTCCATTCATAGTAGTAACTCACATGAATCGGTGAAGCAGGATTCATACGCAAGGAGAAAATGACATCATTCATGCAACCCATCACATGTTCTCACATGCCTGTTAGACCTCACAGAAAAGCATCACTATGGTAACCATGGTCCCTCAGACATGGCCATGGATTCCAAATGGCACCCTAATCCATAGTCCACTGCTTTTGACCAGGGCTCTGGCCAAAAGTAGTGCACTATATAAGGCTTAGGGTGCCATTTCAGACGCAGCCCATGTGTGAACCTGTAGAGGGTTTGGGTGAGCATGTTTACATTTGACAAATGACAAGTTTCCATCCCCTTTCCTGTCCATCCACCCTGCAGTAAGGAACAGCAGAGAGCCAATAAGATGATGTCGGTGTGGGAGCAGCGTACCAACCAGCTGCGTCAAAACAACTTGAGGGCCAGCTCAGAGGCTCTGTTCAACGAGCTGGACCCAGAGGAACGCCTGCGTGTCTCCTCCGCCCTCCACCTGCGCCCCGAAATGAAGACCCACAACGACCGCCCCCTAGTTGTGGAGCCAGGCAATGGGGACAAACCCCGACCCCCCAAGGAGGACAGAGACGGAGCAGACCACCAGCAAGAGGGAGGAGACCCCCACGGCCCACAACTCCGCAAGCACCACCGCCACCGGGAGAGGAATGGGGAGAACGGGGAGAGCAGGCATCACACCCACCACAGCCGCAGTAGGGACCACTACCACCCAGGCGGGCCCCGGCCCAAAGAAGGCAAGGGGGAGAGGAGCCATAGTCGAGAGGGGGGCCAGGGCCACAGGCACCATCACCAGGCTGGATCCCCGGAGGAGGGGGTGAACGGAGGGGGGGAGGAGAGGGAGCACCACCACCACCACCACTCCCACAGACAGCCCCGAGAGGGGAACGGGGCCCTGGCTAACGGGGCCAGAGGGGAAAGGAAGGGCCGGGGGCACAAGGAGGGGAACGGAGAGGGGTACGGAGAGAGGAGGAGATACCGCTCCCGCATGGCCCAGTCAACTCTGGATGGAGAGGAGTGCAGAGAGAATGGAAAGAGAGATGGAGATAGGGACCAGGGACACAGGTGAGTGACCAGCACATTTTCAATGTGCTTTAGTGACATCTTTTTACTATTGTCAAGTCATCACCTCAGAGCTTCACTAATGTGCACTGGCTTGTTCTGCAGGGACAGACAGTTGGACGTTCAAGGGGAGAGCCTGGCCACCAGCCCAGTGCAGCCTTCTGCAGGTCTGCAGGCCGGAGAGAAGCAGGAGGATGCAGACAACCAGAAGAACAGCCACAGAGCCAGCCAGGCAGGCCTCAACAGCAACACTGTCCACATCCCTGTCACCATCACCGCCCTGCCCAGAGAGACCACCATCATACCCAGTCAGTACCCCAGTCAGTACCTCAGTCTGAACCTCAGTCAGTACCATAGTCAGTATCCCAGTCAGTATCCCAGTTAGTACCCCAGTTAGTACCCCAGTCAGTACCCCAGTCAGTACCCCAGTCAGTACCCCAGTCAGAACCTCAGTCAGTACCATAGTCAGTATCCCAGTCAGTATCCCAGTTAGTACCCCAGTTAGTACCCCAGTCAGTACCCCAGTCCGTACCCCAGTCAGTACCTCAGTCTGAACCTCAGTCAGTACCATAGTCAGTATCCCAGTCAGTACCCCAGTCAGTACCTCATGCTGTACCTCAGTCAGCAACCCAGTCAGTACCCCAGTCAGTACCCCAGTCAGTAACTCAGTCAGTACCCCAGTCAGTACCCCAGTCAGTACCTCATTCTGTACCTCAGTCAGCAACCCAGTCAGTACCCCAGTCAGAACCACACTGTGTAATGCTCCTGTTAGCCATGGGCTACAGGGGAAACACTTCAGTCAATCTCTCTCTCTCTCTCTCTCTCTCTCTCTCTCTCTCTCTCTCTCTCTCTCTCTCTCTCTCTCTCTCTCTCTCTCTCTCTCTCTCTCTCTCTCTCTCTCTTTCTCTCTCTCTCTGTCTGATAGTGAATAACATAGACTGTGAGAGCCTCCCCCTGAACGAGGAGAAGAAGAACTTGGAGGAGGATGAGGAAGAGCTGAAGAACGGCCCCAAACACATTCTTCCCTACAGCTCCATGTTTGTGTTCGGACAGACCAACCCGTAAGTCAGGCCCTGAGACAGCGAACCTGCTGGCTCTAATTGATCTTGCTCATATCATGTGCAGTATAACAGTGATAATTCTACCTATAAAGGCAGTAAGACTTTTTCTGCATTACTGTATTGAGTCCAACTCAGTGTTCTGTTAGTGTTTTGGGAGGGTATGTTGAGTGAACTCAGTGAGATGACCTGTGCTGTGCTGTTCAGGGTGCGTCGGCTGTGTCACTACGTGGTGAACCTGCGTTACTTTGAGATGTGTATCCTGTCGGTCATCACCATGAGCAGCATAGCCCTGGCAGCTGAGGACCCTGTGCAGGCCAATGCACCCCGCAATAACGTGAGTCCTGCAAGTGCACACACACACATACACACACACAGGCATGCACACAGGCGGGCATACACACACACACACTGGGCTGCTGGGTATTTGGGTCCTTTACAGGTACAGAGGCGTGAGGAGCAGTCCCTACTAGCGCTAAAGGAATTTGGACTTAGATTGCCTCCAAATCCCACAACCCCCTCTGGTCCTCATTCCGACTGACTGACTAACTGACTGACTAGCTGATTCATTATGCCTGATTGAGCTGACAGAAGCTTCTAGAAATTCTGCTAATATCACCTGACAGTTAGACTGTGTGAGAGTGCACAGTATTTCTGTAAAGTATTTTTGAGTTCATTTGGGTCTTCAAAAAGACAGGCGTAACTTATTAGCATTCTAGTGAAGGGCTCAGTTGGAACAAACATGAGCTGAGTGCTGCTAAGGCTATTGCCTGCTTTTTGATTTTGATTTATTAGGATCCCCATTAGCCGACGCCAATGGCGACAGCTAGTCTTACTGGAGTCTGTACAGTACCAGTCAAAAGTTTGGACACACCAACTCATTCAAGGGTTTTTCTTTATTTTTACTATATTCTACATTGTCGAATAATAGTGAAGACATCAAAACTATGATATAACACATATGGAATCTTGTAGTAACCAAAAAAGTGTTAAAGAAATCATAATATATACCAAGAGTGTGCAAAGCTGTCATCAAGGCAAATGGTGGCTACTTTGAAGAATCTAAAATCTAAAATATATTTTGATTTGTTTAACACTTTTTTGGTTACTACATGATTCCATATCTGTTATATCATTGTTTTGATGTCTTCACTATTATTCTACAATGTAGAAAATAGTAAAAATATAGAAAAACCCTTGAAAGAGTTGGTGTGTCCAAACTTTTGACTGGTACTGCACATGCCAGTCATACACACAACAAGTAGGTCACACGGGGGAGAGGCGTTGTGCCTTGAGGTGTTGCTTTATTTGTTTTTTGAAACCAGGTTTGCTGTTCACTTTCATTTATGTCTTGGGGAAGAGTAAAGAAGACAGGCTGTGTGACTTCTGACAGAAGGTTCAATCATTTCTCACCATCATGTCCTCTTGCAGGTGCTCAAATATCTGGACTACGTCTTCACAGGAGTGTTCACCTTTGAGATGGTGATTAAGGTGAGAGGTCAATGTCATACTGGGGAACGTGTTGGAAATGGACATTGGACAGTTTCCTCAGTTTGAATAGCATACACAGAGGTACTCTCTGAGGTTGCAGCTCAAAATAACAGCACTGCAAAGCTGCCTCAAGGTGGAAGTAAGATATCTGGTTCCTTTTTAAGTACTACATCCAATGTCAGGGCTCTTTACTGGAGTGGTAACTTTTATCCCTTGGACACTTACACTGTTTTAGAGGGTGAGATTGCAAACTGTTAGTACTAGTAGTTTAATGGGGATCATCTTCCCTATATATTCAATCATCTTCCCTATACAGTGGGGGAAAAAAGTATTTAGTCAGCCACCAATTGTGCATGTTCTCCCACTTAAAAAGATGAGAGAGGCCTGTAATTTTCATCATAGGTACAAGTCAACTATGACAGACAAATTGAGAAAGAAAAATCTTAGAAAATCACATTGTAGGATTTTTAATGAATTTATTTGCAAATTATGGTGGAAAATAAGTATTTGGTCAATAACAAACAGGCAAGATTTCTGGCTCTCACAGACCTGTAACTTCTTCTTTAAGAGACTCCTCTGTCCTCCACTCGTTACCTGTATTAATGGCACCTGTTTGAACTTGTTATCAGTATAAAAGACACCTGTCCACAACCTCAAACAGTCACACTCCAAACTCCACTATGGCCGAGACCAAAGAGCTGTCAAAGGACACCAGAAACAAAATTGTAGACCTGCACCAGGCTGGGAAGACTGAATCTGCAATAGGTAAGCAGCTTGGTTTGAAGAAATCAACTGTGGGAGCAATTATTAGGAAATGGAAGACATACAAGACCACTGATAATCTCCCTCGATCTGGGGCTCCACGCAAGATCTCACCCCGTGGGGTCAAAATGATCACAAGAACGGTGAGCAAAAATCCCAGAACCACACGGGGGGACCTAGTGAATGACCTGCAGAGAGCTGGGACCAAAGTAACAAAGCCTACCATCAGTAACACACTACGCCGCCAGGGACTCAAATCCTGCAGTGCCAGACGTGTCCCCCTGCTTAAGCCAGTACATGTCCAGGCCCGTCTGAAGTTTGCTAGAGTGCATTTGGATGATCCAGAAGAGGATTGGGAGAATGTCATATGGTCAGATGAAACCAAAATAGTACTTTTTGGTAAAAACTCAACTCAACTCTCACCTACTGTGAAGCATGGGGGTGGAAACATCATGCTTTGGGGCTGTTTTTCTGCAAAGGGACCAAGACGACTGATCCGTGTAAAGGAAAGAATGAATGGGGCCATGTATTGTGAGATTTTGAGTGAAAACCTCCTTCCATCAGCAAGGGCATTGAAGATGAAACGTGGCTGGGTCTTTCAGCATGACAATGATCCCAAACACACCGCCCGGGCAACGAAGGAGTGGCTTCTTAAGAAGCATTTCAAGGTCCTGGAGTGGCCTAGCCAGTCTCCAGATCTCAACCCCATAGAAAATCTTTGGAGGGAGTTGAAAGTCTGTGTTGCCCAGCGACAGCCCCAAAACATCACTGCTCTAGAGGAGATCTGCATGGAGGAATGGGCCAAAATACCAGCAACAGTGTGTGAAAACCTTGTGAAGACTTACAGAAAACGTTTGACCTGTGTCATTGCCAACAAAGGGTATATAACAAAGTATTGAGAAACTTTTGTTATTGACCAAATACTTATTTTCCACCATAATTTGCAAATACATTCATTAAAAATCCTACAATGTGTTTTTCTGGATTTTTTTCCTATTTTTTTCTGTCATAGTTGACGTGTACCTATGATGAAAATTACAGGCCTCTCTCATCTTTTTAAGTGGGAGAACTTGCACAATTGGTGGTTGACTAAATACTTTTTTCCCCCACTGTATCTTCAACTCTGTGTGTAGATGATAGACCTGGGACTGCTCCTCCATCCTGGTTCTTACTTCCGCGACCTGTGGAACATCCTGGACTTTATCGTGGTCAGCGGAGCTCTGGTGGCATTCGCCTGCTCGTAAGTACACACTTACATTGTATGTTCCTATGGCAGCTGTAGAAGAGGTTAAAGTGGCAATCTGGGATTCCAAAAACAACAAATCAGTCACCTCACCACTTGTTTTGGGTAACAGCTGAGGGATGGGGCTGGAGAAATGTAACCCCTTTCGAATTCAAAGAGAACCATGGATGCAAGGACTGTTTTAAAACTATACAGTTCCCCCAAACATTCTCCAAAGCCAACCACTCTGTACACCTCTCAGGAGCTCCAAACTCCCTTGCCTGTGATTATTTTGTCTAAATTGTTGCTCAAACTCTTCTCTTAGCTTATCATAACCCCCCTCCTATCTGTGTACTAATGCCGCGTGTGTGATTTGATCAATGAGCGTGAGGTTGAGCTGGGGAGGGGGGCACCGTGGGTTCCTCATAGTGCTAATGTACAGCTGTTCCTCTCTCCCTCCCTGGGGTACTGAGACGGAAAGTCATCAGGTGCTTCTATGGCAAGTAACACACACACACAGTCTCAGACATACACACACAGAAGCACAAGCACACACACATACACACACAAAGACAATAAAGGAAGGTGAAAACCAGTATTTTCAAGCATGCCGACCAGCCATCTGCATCTCTGGAGTAAAAGGAAATGGTGTTTTCTCTGCCAGCTCATTCAATTGTTTTGCACCCAGTGGTGTCACGATGGGGCTAATGTGTAATAATCTCTGAAGTAGCAAATTGTACCACATCTCTATTGCAGTTGTTTTTCTTCTCTCTCCTTCTAGCCTATTCTCTCTTTTTCTGGGCAGTAGCCTACTGTGTATTGATGGTTTCCTCTGTGGTTTTCTGTGTCGCTGACTCTGTCTCTTTCCCCTTTCTTTCAAACTGTCCCTCCATCTTTCTCTTTTGTGGCTTGGATTGCTTTCAGGAGCTTCATGGGGTAATGCCTTTGTGATTGCCTGCATTCTTGCTTGTCCCTGTCTGTGTCGTCTTTCTTGCCCGTTTACTTGTCTGTCTGTCTATCATTGCCTGTCCATACGAGGCAGCGGGGCCTATGTCCAGTGTATACTGTAGGTATGTAGTGTAGCATGACTGCAGCCAGCAGCCTCACTCTCATTGCTCAGTCCATTTGCTTAACTAGCCTATATATCTATAGATTCACATTTAGATAGACAGATAGATAGATGGCACTCTCAGATGTGTCTCTTGTCGAATGTCATGTCTTCTCTTCCTTGATGTCATCACACTGGAAAACCTCCTGTCAGGAAAAAAAAAAGTCCCAAATGGCACCCTATTCCCTATATAGTGCACTTATTTTGACCAGGTCCCATATGGCTCTGGTCAAAAGTAGTGCACTATGTATGGTTTCATTTGGGACGTAGCCTATGTCTTCTTGTCAGAAACCCCCTAAAGCTGTCATTTTCACATCAGTCTATGTTAGGTTTCTTCTCTTTTTTGCTCTTGACTTGAAGTGAGTTAAATGCTTCCGTTTGCTTGTCATTATTTGTCTCTTACTGATGTGTTTTAATGTTCAGTATTAAGTCTTAAGGCTAACTAACGCCAGCCACTATATCTCTTCCTCTCTTCAACAGCATTATTAATACTGTCTTAATGTGGCTTAAAGTATTTATTTTGCTTAGTGTTTCTGTATATTTCTGCCTTTTCTTTGTCTCTATGAAGCAGACATCATTTCTTCTGTGCTTTTTGTTTGTTCTATGTGGTTTATGACGTGTTTGTGTGTGTTCTGTTTATTATTGCTTTTCTTCATCAGATCGCAACAAAGTGTGGCCAGGT